AATGAAAAAAAAATTCAATATTAAAGAGTTTATTAATCATAGAAAAGAAATATAAGATGTGTTCCGTTCATGTCACTTTCTTTTTCTTTTTTCTTTTTTTATAAAAATATAAGTATCTAAACCTACAAATAAAATCTTTTTTAAGAAACACTATATACTATAAAATATCTAAAAAAAAAAGAATGGAATGAGAATGTATCAACAAATTCTTATATGTCAATTATTCAAATAATTTAATAGTTTTTTTTTTATTAAAAATAAGATATTTTAAATTCGAATAGTATAATATATAGGTAGAGTAAAATAAAAAATAATCATATCTCATTATATAATTAATATTAAAAAAATCATGATATTCTCACTCAATCATAACTAATATATAAAATATAATATAAATGTTAAAATAAAATAAAATAAAATAAAATAATATAAATGTTAAAATAAAATAAAATATAATATATATTTAAAATCTGTAAAAAATTATGAATTTAACGTAAAAATTAATGTAAATTAATTACAGATATTTTAATTAATAAGGGTATAGGTTAGATAAGTCCATTTGAAATTTAATTTTTATAAAAATGAAGAAAAAAAATTCAATATTAAAGAGTTTATTAATCATAAAAAAAAAAAGATGTGTTCCGTTGTTGTCACTTTCTTTTTCTTTTTTTTTATAAAATATAAGCATCTAAACCTACAAATAAAATCTTTTTGAGAAACACTATATACTTAAAATATCAACTATAAAATATCTAAAAAAAAAGAATGGAATGAGAATATATCAACAAATTTTTGTATATCAATAATTTAAATAATTTAATTATCGTTTTCTTTCGTTAAAGATAAAAGATTTTGAATTCAAATCGCATGATATACGGGTAAAATGAGATAAGAAATGATAGATAATTATTTTTTATTGTATAACAAAAAAAGAAAATCATATATATCTGATAATTTTTAATGAAAATGAACACACAAGAGAGCACGGAGCAGCTGGACAGTCTCGGGCCGATCGAGGGACAGCAGGCGAAATGTGACGACTCACTGGCGTCTCCGCCAGGTGCCGGCCCAGATCCCCAGCGGTCCGTCACCGTCCATTATTGACTGCCATGGAATGGGGATGGTGCGGTGCCTTATATACAAGGGAATGGGGAATTGAATTATTGAACAGTGATATCAC